GAATGGGTATGCTTCCAAAGTAAGAATCTTGGCTCCCTGCTGAGTCTCTTAGTTAAACTTGCAAATTTCCCAACTTGACACAATGTACCAACTGTAACAATCCCTTTTTGTGCTATTTGCTGTGTAATGACAACTTTTATGAATTATGTTTTCATTATCTGAAATGTAGGTTAGTCTGATATATTGAAGTTCTCTTGAGACATTTTTTTTTACCTTATTTAGAAATCTCTTGTTTAGTATTTGTCATGGTTTATGTTGGTGGCCCCCAGACCTCATGCATTTGCAGTATGCATTTGTGATTGGTTCATTGCGTAGAGCTTAGATTGATGGTGTCAGTGCTACACCCACATAGGGAAGGAGCCAGCATACAATGTAATGGCAGGAAGAAGGTGTGTCTCAACCTTTTGCTTGTTTCTGCCTTGCTGTTTGCAGCTGCCATGAAGTGTGGCCCTGCCATGCCACCCTGCCTGAAACCTCTGAAAAACTGTAAGAAACAAACCTTTCCTTTCCCAACTTGGTGCATCCTGTATTTTGTCTCAGCGATGACTAAAAAGTAACTAATACAGAATTTGGTACCAAGAAGTGGGGTTGTTTGCTCTGATTATACCTAACCATGTTTTTCGAGAGGCTTTGGAAATGGCTTGCAGACATCATTTGGAAAGGTTTGGACAAGTCTCCTGGATGCGTAGAGCTGGAGCAGCTTAGGATGCTTTCTAGAAGAGATTCTGGTCAGAGCTCAGGAGCCCAGAAGTCTGATAGAAAGCCTTATGGCAAAGACCAGGCTTGGAAGGTTTCTGCTGGGAAGAGGGTCTACATTGGGTGTTGAACTCCCCATGATGTGTGTTATGGCTTGGCAGAAAGTTTGTCTGAATTTTGCTCATGCCCAGAGACTTTGCCTGAGACTGAGACAAAGGGCAATGAACTGATTAATCTGGAAATGGAAATTTCAATGACAGTTGAATGTTGAGGTTGTGGCATGGGTATTGTTGGGGGCTTTTAGCCAGCTTTATGTAGCAAATCAAGAGCAAAGAGCCCTGCAGCATAATTTATAATACTGTGAGTTTGACCAGAAGGAAAAATCCACTAAAGCTCTGGATTGTAAAGATAGAGTTAAAACTTTGATTGCTGAGAAGAAACAGAGAGATAAAGAAAGATGTCCCTGAGGCAACCCAGGAAGCAGTAGATCACCACCCTTTGCAGCCTCAAAACTGCAAAAGTGAAAGAATTTGCTCAGAGGAGGAAGCTGCAGAGCACCATGCTCCAGAATGGCTATGGAGGCCACATGAGGTTGCAGAATGGCGGAAACATTCAAAAGCATTTCTTCACAATCAGATTCACAGAGCCCAGTGAGCCAGACAATGGACCTCTACAGCCAAGATAGAGAAAAGCCTGGCTATTGCTCTACTTGGCAGCAAACCTTGGTGGCATCCACATGGTGCTGATTTTAGGTGCAAGGAAAATGCGCAAATTCTGAGGGTAAGATGACTTCCACCGCAATTGCAAAGGGTCTGGGAGGCCAAACAGTGTGCTTCTGAGAGGGCAATTTGTAAAGATGTAAGGGTGAAGCCAAAGGTGCAGTGGAGACCCCAGAAGTTTGGAAAAGCCAGGAACATGGATCATCCAAGGAAAGCTGCAAAAAGCAAGCAGAGAGGGTTTAAGAGAGAAGCTGCAGGAGCTAAAATCCCTGGAAGTGCCATGGAGGTGAAATCACCCAAGTCTTTTGGAGCTTGCAATCAGATTGCTTCAAATGCTGAGGATGGAACTCTAAGACTTAAGCCCTATGATCCCATGAGGCATTGAGTTGACATCTATTCACAAACCATAAGAGGCAGTATGGAAATCTTTCGGGTAAATTGAGATATTAAGCTCCATGTAGTTTAGACAACTTGGTGTAGTATGTTGGGAGGGGCTGAAGATCATTGTCACGTGAGGAGGCCAGAGCCTGATGTATCTGAGGAATGCCTGGAGGGCACCAAGCACCCTGAGCAAACAGGTGTTCCAGTCCTGAAAACCCTTGGGGTGTGAGAGCCAGCTAATTACTAGGCAGAGTGGTTTTATCTGACATCAACCTGCCACATGTATAAATAAAAGTGCTGCAGTTGTTGAGAACCTTGCTTTGTTTTGGGGCTTTTTTTTTTCCGAACAGAAGATAGAGAGCTCCACCTGTGTCTTCTCTTTATCTCTTCTCCTCACTGTCCTTTGTGAACGTCACCTCTGGAAGTTCAGGAGCTGTGCTGATCATGGCCATTTAGCATCCAAACAGGGACCAAGGGCATGAGGAAATTCACCATTTGGCAGGTGAGCGGGACACCTCTGGGTATGCACAAAAGGGATAGAGATCATCAGTATTGAGCCCACTGATGCTATGCTTGTGTGAAGAAATGAAAGTGTTTCTTTTTATCCATCCATGGTTCCAGAATATGGAAAGTGTTTATGACTTTGTTTCCATGGTAATAACGTCATTGCTATACATACATCAGGAATCTAGTTCCACTGAAACCGGATATGATTATAAAATTGATTCCCTTGCCTAGCTTTGCCTGGAGTGTCTCAGTTGGAAGCACTTATCACATCAGATAGCAATGGATGACTTGAGTGAATGTAAGTTTAGTTTATGGGGCCAAATAAGGTCTTTGTCAAAAAAAAAAAAAAAAAAAAGCCGTGATACCCTGCTGAGGAGTTCCCCAGCTTTGTGAGAAGGCGGCCCAGGAGCACAAAGATACCTCCTGAAGATCTTGAGATGGCAGAAATTTACGAAAACCTATAGGTATTGTGGGCAGATATGGATGGTGTCTCAATCACCTTCCTTATTGCTGGGACCAAATACATGAGATCTGCAATTTATAGCAGGAAAGATTCACGCTGGCACATTTTAAAAGATTCAGTCCTTGGGGGCTGGGGATTTAGCTCAGCGGCATAAGCACCTGCCTTGCAAGCAGGCAGTCCTGAGTTCGATCCCTGGTACCAATAAAAACGAAAAAAAGACCAAAAAATAAAATAAAATAAAAGATTCAGTCCTTGTGTGGTCAGTGGCCCCAGCAGAAGGGGTACAGTAAAAAGTTGTGGCATGTAAGCTGCTCACTCACATCATTATTCCAGGATGCAGAGAGAATTCAGAGAGCACCAGGAAGGGAGTTAAACCCTTCCCCATCACACTTTCTGTGCCCCACCTCTCCTGCTCCAGCCCTGCCTCCTAACACCAAGTCTCCTCTAAACCCCCATGATCCAGTCAGCTGCCAAAAGCCTCACCCTGGAGCACATGAGGCTCTTGGGGCACAGCTAGGTGTGAACCATGACAGATGGTAAGTCCTTGTCTGGCTTTCTAGCAAGGAGAGGCTTTGAAAGGTCTAATTTGAGATTGATTCCTTATTAAAATCCCAACAAAGCTGACTCCAAAAGAGCCTCAGCACTCCCTCTGTGCTCTTATTGCACTTCTGTTAAATAATCAGAGCAAGTACAATGGAACCAGTCCTGTTTGATAAAACAATTTGTGTTACTGTGATCATCTCTAGTGAATGCAGGGATAACTTTAGTGGAAAAAAAAAGGATTTCATTGAAAAAGCGGGCCTTTCCTGTATATATCAGATGCTAGTCTTTTTTCACAGATGTTGAAAATTTTTATTGAGAATCTGTCCTGCTTCTGAACCCTAAGAAGCTAGAGCTGGACATTTGATGTAAAGTTAGAAGAGAACTTTGGGCCTCTTGCTGGGTTCACACAGAGATTCAACTGAGATGAGTTAACATTTCCGTATGAAACCAAGCAGGTACACTTCAAGATCAACTCTAGAGGTCTTTCTGCTGACTCTCCTGTGGCTTCAGAGAACCCATTTCATGTTCTTTCTTTTAACTTTATTATTCCTTTGTTGATTTTGTTGGTTTGGTTTGTGGACCCTTGTCTAAGAAGCATTGTCTCATCCTTTGGTATTTTCCTCCTGCTGGTCACACTGGATCTGTGCTGTATCCTCTCAGTGGTCTAAGATGTGCACCCACTGTCTCCCAGGCCATGAACAGTGTACCTGGTGGTCTGTAGAGCAATGAAAATCCAAGACAATCAACAAAGAGAATGTCTTCACTGCACCTGATGTGGTGACTGAAGCATACTTTGTTGTGACAAAGACAAACCAACCATGATGCTGACAGCAAGAGGGGCTTATGCCCTAATTTTGGTCCATCTCTTTTGTATAAGAGCTGGGGCTCTCATACAAACAAGAAGACTTGTTTGGACAAAGGTTTGCATTTAAATGCTGCTGCAGGGAAAAGGCCCAGAGCTTTGGGGTTCCTACAAAAGCCAATTAGGACCCATTGCCAAGTGAAACAAAAGTAGAGCCTTTCTGAATCAAAAGCACCAGCTAATCTCCAGATACCCAGGTTCTCCCCAGTCAAATACAATTTCCTTGTTTTATTTCCTATGAACACTTTAGACTGTTTTCTCTGTTGCCCTCCCTGCAGAGTGCTCCTCTGCTTCTAGTTGGCCTGATTTATAAATCACTGACACACGTGAGTACTTTCATTCAATGTGCATTTCATTTCCACAGGCCTAGGATGATGTTTAGCAATGCAAGGTCACTTGGAGAGCTTTCCTGGATGTGCACAGGTGATAGTTTTGAGATGTAATATGGATTTTCATCTATTATGCTTATAACTCTATGGTATGGTGGAGTGTTTTTGCACATGAATACTGCATACACAATAAGAGAAACTGGGCACACGTGTCCCAGCCCTGCCCTGACAGTCACCAGGCTGGGACTGGGAAAAGTGTGAAGGCCAAGAACACAGAAATGTGACTTTTATGTGGAGAAGTTTGAAGTGCCAATAGGCAAGTGCTAAACTGGGGCAGAGTACATGTTTTCGGAGGGAGGCTGGAAGGCTCTTTCCTTATCCCACATTTATGTGCCTTTAGATTTTGTAGTATGAATGAAATGCCTTGGCTGAGGCAGTCAACAGGCTGAATGCTAAATGTGTAATTTTATAGGTTCATGTCTGAAGCAATTCCTTTGCTTGGCTCTGTGGTGTAATGGTGAGCACTCTGGACTCTGAATCCAGTGATATGAGTTCAAACCTCAGTGGGAGCTTTGTGTGTATTCTGGCCCCAGAAAGTGAGAAATTTTCTTTCATTGCTAACCTGAGACTGGGCTGTGGGCTTGAGGGACATCTGACATGGGTGTTGTGGGGAAGCAGGCTCTGAGGAGCTGTGGCTCTAGAGAGTGAAAGCATGGTGTTAAGAACACATTTTTTTTTTTCTTCCCTTTTTCAAAAAGTGAGTCTTCGTTTCTGCTCTCACATCTTGATGTGGGGGATAGAAAAGTTTCTGTCCAGGAACAGAAGCTGCCCAGGGTGGTGATCAATTTGAGTCTCAGCAACCCTTCTGCTCCAGAGCATTTCAGCTGCTCAACCTTGGCCTGCTCCTGGGGCTTCCTCCATGGAAGTGAGGTTCTCAGTGAGTCACTGTCTGTAGGGCATTTGCGGGTCATCATGTTGGGTGACCAAACTTGAGATATCAGTCCTCCCAGACTAAGCCCAGGCTCGTTGCCATCAGAGGTCCCCACCCCACTGCCCAGGGTCCCAGCCATTCGGCCAGTGCCACCCTGTGCCCAGGTGACCCTCGGGCCTCGGAGTGAAGCTGTGCAATGCACAAAAATGTCCTCACAAGTCTCATGCCCCACGATGTCTCTCACCTGGTTCACCTGGCAAGTGCACCGATTGTCTTCGGGTAAGGAAAGTACAAATGAGAGAAATTGCATTGACAAGAGCTGGGCCCTTGATGACCCAGTCTCTGTGCTCTGAGGTTGGAGACCTGAGCTGGAGGTACAGTATTTTATCCAAGTTGATTATTGTATTCTGCATGTTCACTCGCTGGCTCTTCTGATTTGCATTTCATTTCCAGTTACTAGCTCTGAGGACAATGCTGGCCACCTTTGAGTAGCTTGGGAACCAGCTCCATGGATCAGGTTACTTGAGCAGCACTGGGCTCACATGCTGGGGAGGAGCTGAGGATCCTGGTACAATCTCCAACAGGAAGCATCACTGAGGTTTTTATGTTCTAGATGTCAGAAAACGTTCACAGCCTGAGAAGTCAGAGACACAGTAAAGAGGATGAGAAAGGGACACATGAGGAAAAACAGCTGAGGAAGGAGGTGACCTTAGAAAATGGGGAGAAAGGAGAAAGCAGCAATGGGAGGTGGGGAGCGCGGCTTCCCAGGTGCACACTCACACTCTGTGGGTTCCAGAGACCCCAGCTCCTTCCTCTGTAGGTTCCTAAAAAGCATGCTTCTGCTCCAAACCAGCGTTTTTTGAACACTGCGAAGTGCTTGCCTGGCACATTTGTCTTGCAGCTTCCTTTGGCCCAGAGGGCTGGGGTGGGAGGCTTGGTCTGCCAGCTCTTGGAAGCCAAGGGGGGCACCTTGCTGGCTCCCAGGGAGAGAAGGGCAGATGGGAAACACACACCCCTCTTTCACTTTCATGCTGGTCTCTAAAATCCGGGATTGAAAAACAAGGAATAGCGACCAATAACTATGGTATAAAGTGGCTCTGCCTCGGGAGAAGAAATGTAAGAGGGGGCCAGGGAACGAGTGATATTTCCAAGTGAGCTTTGAACACGTGTGAGTTTCAGAAATTCCTATTAGGAATGAAAACACAGGCCCTAAATTGCACGTCCACTTCTCCACCTACACTGCAGAAATATGTGCAGGAGTGAACAGATATATGCAAAAGAACTATGAGCACAGCACTATTTGGGATCATAAGACCATGACACCAACACACTTAGAAACATTTTCAGAGAGGGTTCCTGAGATAAACCTCGTATTGTTAGGTCACCTCTCTGGAGGGTACAGTTTTATCAAGAGTCTGTTAAAACAAAAAACAAACAAAAAACCCCTTCATGTATAAAGAATTAGGAAATACAGGTTCAGAAGGAGAAACAAACTAAATTTATTGGAAAGAACATAGAAATGGGGAAACAAAATCACTTCTTTGAGAACAAGTGAGAAAATATGTAGATACAGAGTCCACATCTGGCACTGGGGGAATATGGGAGAAAGGGACTCTTCCCCTTGGAGAGCTATGATACCTTGATTGGCCACTTTGGGCTCTGAGACACCTGATTTGGCCCTTGGCCCTTCCAGGGCCTACTGGTATGTTTTTGGATAAGCACTTCCTTGGTCTCTTTATGAGGTTCAGATGCTTGCAATTTATGTCAGAGTTATCTTCAAGGCCAAGTTAGTAGACAGAATATGTGTGCGCTTCAATGTATTAATATGGTGAGAATAATAAACTGTGTATATACTTATATGTACATGGGTGTGTGAGTGCCTAGGTGTTGGTTTGTATTTTATGTACTGAGTGGGTCTTTATGGTAGTGTCCCCTCCTCCCCACTCTGTTTCTCCTGTGCTTAATCGAAGATGGAGGGGTTGTGTCTTGGCATGTAGTGAGCCAGGCCAGCCTTAGGAGCTTTCCCTGTTTCTTTCAGCCTCTCTTTCTTTCTCTCTCTCTCTCTCTCTCTCTCTCTCTCTCTCTCTCTCTCTCTGTCTCTCCCTCTGTCTCTCTCTCTCTCTTGCAGTGGTTCAAGACTTTATTGGCTAGAAACCTCGCTGTGGCCCTTTAACTTTCTCTACCTGTCGCCTAACTTTCTCTACAATATTTGGGAAGAATTGCTGTTTCTCAAAAAACGGAGAGGGTGTTTAGGATGATTTCACAGGTGGCAACGTGATCCAGAGGGCGACCAGTGAGTCCAGATAGCTCCTGGGAATAAGGAAGCAGTGCTGGCCTCAGACCGCTCATGGGAAAACTGAGTGTTCCAGGACGGCCCACAGGTGTCCACCTCTGTAAAGGGGAGAGAACAAGGACTTGAGAGGACCAAAAGGAAAGGAGAGTCTTAGGTCTCTCGTTTCTGAAAAGTCTAGGTTTCTGATTTCTCCAGCACATCATCCAGGCCATGTGGGGCTTTCCAGAAGGGAGGTGAGTTGAACCTGGGAGGGAGGCAACTTGGGTCCTCTGCAGTTAATAAGGCAGAGGTACCTTCCTTGCAAAAGCATCGTGTACCGTCCCTGGGTGGGCTCGAACCACCAATCTTTCGGTTAACAGCCGAATGCGCTAACCCATTGCGCCACAGAGACATGATCTTGCTGCTCTGTAGCCTGTAAAGAGGCTGAAAACTCAGGTCTCCAACTCCGAACTCGCACCAGGAGTCCCCTGGGTCTGCCTTCTCTTCAGCGACTTCCAAAGCCTGGTGCAGCGGGAGAGAGCAGGGCTGTGACCAGCAGCGCTGCAAACCGGCGCTCCTGGGACTGCGAGGTGGGAGGAGCAGCACGGTGGCTCCAGAGGAGCCGGCGCTGAGAGACCCGGCTGGGATTGGGGCGGCTCCTGCGATTCAGGGCGCTGCTCGCGCCCTGGGGAGCCAGCGCCCCTCTCCTCCCATTCCCTCCTCTCCCTCCCACCAACAGCCCCACCACGGCCTCCGCCCGCCGGGGGCTCCCTGGTTGGACCCTGAGCATTTCCGGACTCCGGGTTCGCGGGGCGTGGTCTCGGGTCCACTCGCGGGGCGCTCAGTAGGACCTAGAACAAAGAATCCCATCGCCATCCCTGGCGTGAAGAGCCCTCAGCGTGGAAATGGGATTCTTGCGGAAGGGGAAGTTCTGCTTACACAGCCTCCCTGGGGTTGAGTTCTCAGCGTTGGGGGGCTGAGCCACCTGTGACAGGGGAGGCGGGGAAGGAGCAGGTGGTGGCAGGGGATGAAGCTACCAGGGCCTCAGACTCCAAAGCCCTCACCCAGGAAGAACTGATTTGGGGGCGACTGAGATGGGATGGAAAGTGTCAGTGTTACCTGCGCTCCCAATGTACCAGAATGAAACGCATTAATCTCATTTAAAACAAAGTTGGATGAGCTGTTTCTCTACTGTGGCAACACCGGGAGCAAGCCAGCCACAAATGGGAGGACCTTCCCAAGGATAAACCTTCCTGCAGACAGAAAGAAGAGGAGGCATCTGGGAACCCGAAAACCTGGGAAGGACAGAATCATCCTCAGTACCTTCTTCATTCCTTTTGGCAAAAGCCTTGCTTCCATTATTTTTCTGTACAGTTGTCTGTAGCTAAACAACCGCGTGTCTTTCTAGAATTATGTGGATTCCGTTATTTTGTGCCATCGGGTAATGCAGTCATTCCTCTGGTGCATGCGCAGTTGGCTGCTTGTGCCAGTCCTTCTGTGGGAAGCCCCATTGCTGGTGTCAGAGTGATTGCGGGGTTTTATATCGGTCCAGCTTCTCCCTGTACGCAATTTACCTCTGTGGTTATTTCAGGGACTGCCTTCGGTTTTGTGGCATACATTTTAAATTTATGGAGTCTACCTTTCAGTCTGCCTATCACACAATGGTTAGACATTTTGTTCTTCACCAGGGGCTGCGCATTCTAACTCTGTCATATACCAGTTGAATCACCTGAAGAGGTCCCTTCATGTGCCCAGGGTCTTCTCTTTTTGCACCTCTGAAATGGGGAGCAGTTGGGAAACTAGGGAGCCCAGATGGGGAAAACTGGACTGGAGCCTGGTTGTGTTTGTCCTTGAGATGTTTCCCTGAAGGCAGTGAGACTGTTGCAGAAAAACTGATCTCAAACCAAATGGAAGTCTCTCTGCACCAAGCAGTTAGAAGACAACTTTTATTATGCTAGAGGACTAGTAGGAACCAGTTCCAAATCACCAGCCACGAGTCAGCTTAGAGTTCAGTTTAAATACAGTTTGCAAGCAGGAAGTACAAAGCTGATGGCAGGAGATTACATGACTTGTTGCATGAATGAAGTCATGTGTTGTCAAGCAAGCTAGTTCTAAGTAGATTCCTGGAAAGGAGGAGAGGGATCTGACTGGAGCAAGCAGAGTCAAATATGTCCTCAACTGGGCCATTCTGTCCAAAACATGAAGTCCTTGAAGCAGGTTGGAAACAACATATATTTTCCTAAGTAAGGAAGAACACAGTCTTGCGAGTGGGCACAGTCAGTTGAGCCAGCGCATTATCAGGAACAACAGCTGGACGCAGACTGTGAAGGCTGATTGATTTTATCTGGCTAACTGCGTGACAAGCAGCAG